TAGTAGTAGTATGGTTCGGCATCACGTTTCTCTTGGTTGGCTTCACGCTTGTAGTAGTAGTATGGTTCGGCATCACGTTTCTCTTGGTTGGCTTCACGCTTCTCTTGGTTGGCTTCACGTTTGTAGTAGTAGTATGGTTCGGCATCACGTTTCTCTTCGTTGGCTTCACGCTTGTAGTAGTAGTATGGTTCGGCATCACGTTTCTCTTCGTTGGCTTCACGCTTGTAGTAGTAGTATGGTTCAGCATCACGTTTCTCTGGTGCTTGGGCATCACGCTTGTAGTAGTAGTATGGCTGGGCGTTGCGTTTGTAGTAATAGTATGGGGAAGCATCACGCTTCTCTTGGTTGGCGGAAGGATCTATTAACCATGTTCATAAAAAAGCAACAGAATATGGTTCGTTGCAGCAGAAACGCGAAATGTTTAAAAAAAAATTTTCAGGAATCATGAAAATAATAAAAATTTACCGGCCAAGGTGGTCGATGCCAATAAAGCTAGGACAACGGCAATTGAAGAGAATTTCATTGTAAATGCTATTAATTTTTGATTTATATCAGTAGCTGATGGAGTGAAAGATACGAAAAGGGCAAGGGTTTTTATAGCAATCAGCTGGCATAATGATAGATTGGTTTATTTGAAACTATTCGTTTGGTTAGAATCATGTAATGGCTTGTAAAGAACTCCTTTTTTTTTTTGGTCGGCTTTGAGTATTTTGCATTGTTTTTTCTTAGCGTATTATTTAAGATGACAAATGGAGAATAGAAGCGAAAAGCCTAGGGTGTTTGTTTATGAAACGAGGCGCGAAAAAAAAAATAAAAAAGAAATCTTTTGTGGTTGACTTTGTTTCGAAAGAACGAAAACTAATAAGCCATTCCATAGCCTTTAAGCTATTGATATGCAATCACGTGATTAATACGATTCCTTAATAATGAATATAGTTTAACTGCGTATGTACTGTAAAAATTAAAATAATATTTGATTTCATTAATTATATAAAAGCCTTTAATAATGATCGATGGATTTTGGTTACAAATTATTATCTTCAAACGAGGCTGGACAGGCGTCAATCCATTCATCATTAGATTCGCCATATACCTCTTCCGCCGTATGCCTTGCGTATCCTAAACAGTGCACTGCCTTTTCATAATAGTTCCGAGGCTCAATTTTTTTTTCTTTCAAGATTGTATTGTCAAATACTTGAGTAATATTTATTTATCGTCATTTTTCTCGCGCATCGACCTTATTAAAGCCCCACATTATCTACCAACGTAATAGAAAGCCACAACGAATTGGCTAAGAGCAAACAAATAAACACTATATCTATGTGGCTCACACCATCACAAAGAAACATTATAAAGTTTTCGCTTGACGAAATAAACCAATAAAGTTTTTCAACATGGATATAGATCTGTTGCTCTTACTATGCGTCCTATTCGTCGTCGTGGTCTACATTGAAGCGGAAGCTAGTAATGAAGAGGGTGACGCCGAGACTTATGAACGTAACGCGTCTCCATACTATAAGAGGGTCACTAGAACATCTCCATATTACCATTACAGACGTGATATAAATTCCTGTTGTTACATAAAAGATCTAGGCTTCTACCATTGCGAAAGAGACGCCTCATCTTATAAACGTGACACAGAGGAAACCTTATACAACCATTATAGGAGATATTGCTAATTAGCTACCTTCCAAATATCTATGGATAAAATTGCAGTCATAAGCGCAACACAAAACGAAAACCTATACGATGGTTTTCCTAATAATGTTTCTTTCTCACTTCGTGTATGCAACTTTTTTGAATTAACTGTTAAAATCAATTCTTTTTCTACGATATTGCATTATTAACATAAAAACTCGGACTTTTCGTGTAACTTCGTAAATACTTCGAATTTATTAATGTTTTTTTTTTGTATGAGTTCCTTGTTACTATAATAAAAAATCGCAAAAAATTTTTTCTCTGGTTTTAACTAGAATTAGGTGTTTAAATGTTTAAATGCAAAAAAAAATAAATATCTTTAAGCACATAATAAATAGCATATAATGCTATTAAACCAAAATAAAGTTAGAATCTGTCTTTTTTATTTTTTTTAAGTAGATAGGTACATCGTAACATAGCATCAAAACAAATCGTACTTTTTTATGATAATTTTTTTTTATCAATTGTTAATATTCGAACTCTTATAACTCGGTTTTTTTCCCCACAATGAATTTCCATAATTGTCAAAATTGATATACAGATATTTCACACGACGCGCCATAGTAGCATAATTGCCTAAAATGGACTTCCAAAGTTAAAGTTTCTTTATTATCCTTATCATACTTGAACGTATTATTTAGATTTAAAGTCCCATGTGCTTTATTATCATTATTTCTTCATTTATACATGCTCTGTGAAAAGGATCGTGTAACTTGAGATCTTAAATTAGGAATGCAAAATAAAAGTAGTGGAGAAGGGAATTCGTGAGATGAGATTGAATCTACATAATTGTAGTAGTTAGTAATTATAACAATTTGGTACACACGATCAAATAGACAAATGCATATTTCTTAAGTTACTAAACCTTGTAACTTTCTTCGAAAATAAGTTTAATTAATACAATCGAATCTTTGCTTTAGCAATCGTGAATGAATCGTGTAAACGCGTGATGTAATGTGAGAATTAAAATATTCGATCGGTAATTCCTAATAACAATGCGGCAGAATCACTTTCACCTCCGTCCAATGCTTTCATCAACCAGTAAACAGCCTTTATGTAATCTCTTTTCGTTCCTATGGCGTACTTAAGACATTTTCCCACCTGTAGCTGACCAAATGGATAACCATTTTCAGCAGACTTTAAATACCACTCGAAAGCTCTCTTGTCATCTTTTTCCGTCCCAGATCCAGAATAATAACAGTATGCAACATCACATTGTGCTTCGCCAGAACCAGCATTGGCGCTTTTCATATAAAATTCAAACGCCTTTTGACTATTTTGCGACACACCTTGCCCACTATTATAGCAATCTCCCACCATGTCTTGAGCTTTGATGTTACCTTCATTCGCCGAGTTCAAGTACCATTCAAATCCAATTCTTTCATTTTTTGGCGTTCCTTTACCATTAAAATAGTCATACCCGAGATTAAATTGTCCCAAGGGATTCCCTAATTTTGCTGATTTCAGATCCTTATTAAACGCCATGAGCTCATCCTTTGGAGTACCAACACCATTACAATACATGTAGCCTTCGCATGAAAGCGCTTTGCTTGAACC